CCCCCTGAGCCTTCTCTTCTCCACACTAAACCCCCAGGTCCCTCAGCCCTTCCCCATCACACTTGTGCTCCAGGCCCTGCTCCAGCTCCATTCCCTTCTCTGGCCCCGCTCCAGCACCTCAATGTCTCTCTTGCAGTGAGGGGCCCAGAACTGACACAGGATCCGAGGTGCAGCCCCACCAGTGCCCAGCACAGGGTTGGATGGAGCCCAGCAGAGTGTGATGCTGTGGCTGGGGGTGTCTGTGTGATGGAGGGGGGGATATTGGGGCTCTGAGCACCCACCTTTGGGGCTCAGCCGATGGACTCCTGCCTCGAAGCTGGGTGACAGGAGCAAGGTGAGGCCAGGGAGCAGAGCTCAATGCAAAGTCTTTACTAGAGGCAAGGTTACACAGAGGAGAAAAGCAACAGCCAGCACTGAGAGAAGGCAGAGCGAGGTTCATCCAGAAGGAAGGGTCTACCTAAGAGGAAATGGGTTGAACTCTTGGTCCTCAGCCTCGTGGGGACCATTTCTCTGCTGAGAACAGAAGTTTGGGGTGAAAAGAAGAATTTGTGGCCATTCCATATGTGTCCAAGCAGAGGGTCCAGAGCAGAGTCCACTGTGGAGGCACGATGGGTGCAGGATGAGGTGTCCATCATGCTGTCCAAGACAAAGGAGGTGGAAAGGGAGGAGAAGAGGCCACCATCTGTCCCCATCCCAAGTCCATGAGGGTGCAGAGCTGCATCAGAGCAGGGTGCAGGTGCCCTTGCGCTTGATCTCGAAGGCGGCCGTGAGGAAGCCCAGCTTCTGCTGGCTGTAGGGAGGGTAGCGCAGGGTGTTGAGGGCCTCCAGGCCCATGTTGCGGTGCAGGCACCCGCGGTGGTGGCTGAAGGTGTCGAAGGTGAACTTGCCGTGGTACCTCCCCAGGCCACTGCACCCTGTAACACACAGCAAGGTCCAAACCTGCCCTGGGGCTCTGCTCCTGCCTGCTCCAAGCGTCATCGGGCAACACAGGGAAAGCTTTCCTCATGGAAACTGCTGCGTAGGGATGTGGTGATGGAGATCCCACCTTCCCCTTGGCCTCTTCCAGCTCTACAGCTCCTCAGTCCAGCAAATCCTTCTGCAGGTCACTGAGGTCCAAGTGCCTCATTTTAGATGGGCTTGGAGCAACCTGGTCTAGCGGAAGGTGTCCCTGCCCGTGCTTGGAATCAGATGAGCTTCAAGGTCCCTTCCAACCCAAACCATTCCATGATTCCATATGATTTCTCCTGGCCTGCATTTATCTACATGAGCTTTGCTGGGCCTACAAGGCTCAATTTCCCTCTACAACCTCTATCTACCCATGGTTAGGAGCTACCAGGTTGGCCCCTACGAAGGTCATCTTCTTCCCAGAGCATTCCCACTTGGAAGCCCCATTATCAACACCAGTTCTCCCAATTCCTGGGGCTGGTTTCAACCTGAGGTTGCACACAGTGGTTAACAGCCCAGTGACTGCTGTGGTGTGGAAGCTTTGACAAATGCCATCTCATCCTGATGACCTCAGGCCCTGCTATGAAATGGCTTCACCTCCTCATGTGAGGTAGTTTGGCTGAATCACTTCCATAAGGATAAGTTCCGGAATGGGAACCACCAAGGATTGTTCCTGAGCCACAGGCAGCTGAGGAATTAATTGTGGTTGGCTCTTGTGGTGTCCCATTATGTGTGATTCAAGTTGCTGAGCACAGGCAGCAGGAGACTGAGGTGCTTCCTCCAGAGGATACTCTGGGGAAGAGACCAGGAGATTGGGAAAGTACCATGAGGAGCTTCCTGCTTTCCTGTGCTCTTCCCCGGACAAGGCACCAGGCAGGGCCCAGGGCTGAGCAAACCTCACATATGATTGTTGTTGCCTCTGGAGACCAGAAACTCTTTGTCTTTGCCACCTCCAAGGTACCATAAGAAGGTTCTCCAGATGTTTACAAGAGTTTTGCTCCTACTGTTTAGTCCTAAAAGGCAGAATGAAGGCACAAGCCTGCTCCTGAGTGATGCTGAGGGCCTGATCCTGATCCAGTACTAGGATGGACAGAGGAGGAAGCTCACCTACCCAAGAGCACAATGAGTTGATGTGCTCCATAGAGAGGAGCACAGTGATGGAGAGACCAAAGGGAGCAGCATTGAGGAGCTTCCAGGTAAACCTGGGCAAGACAGGAGCCCAGCTATGGCACAGTGTACACTCGAGAGTGTCCATGCTCCTCAGAAACACCACGGATATAACCAAGGGGTACAGAATTCCCAACTTTTTACATGGAACATCTGCACGTACACAGGGAACACGGTGGTTGGGACAGCAGCCTGGAGAGAAGAACCTCACAGTGCCCCACATATGCAAAGCCAGAGAGATCAGCTCTTGTGCAGTGAAGCAAAAGGGCTTTGGGGAGGTCCTAGAGGTGCAGAGGGGGTTCCCTGCACACTGTGGAGCTCTGGGGCCACCAAGACCCTCCCTCACCCGTGGCCAGTGTGGCTGAGGCTCATGGTGGCCAGGGACAGGCAGGTTGGGGTCTGCACCTACCGATGC